AGATTTACCACAAGACGCATTGGACAAGGCTTTTGACCATGCAGAACAAGCAGATCTATGTCTTGTTCTAGGTCAGTTGTTATTGAATGTCTTTTCTCTGACAATGATAATCGATTTTAGGCAGTAGTTTGACTGTTACACCAGCCGCTGATATTCCAGAACGTGTAGTAGAACGCAAACAAAAATTAGTGATTGGCAATTTACAACAAACACCTTTGCACAAAGTTGCTACACTTAATATTCATGCATTCAGTGATGCTATTATGAAAGGTATCATGGAACGATTGAATATTCCGATTCCAACTTGGATCGTTCGTCGACGAATTCATGTCACTAGTCAACCTTCTTCGAATAAACAGAACCAATATCAGATTCTAATTGAAGGCCGTGATCCAGATAATGTTGACATTCCTTATACATTGTTCGAACGAATTCGAGTAATTGTTGATCAAAAGGTAATTAAGCAACGCCAGCGTCAACCGTTCGTATTTGATCTCGTTGATAATGATCAACAACCGATTATTATTCGACTGTATTTCTTTGGACATTACAATGAAGTTCCTTTTGAGTTAACTTATCCGAATCTGAAAAGTATCCCAAAGGACGAACAATTCTATTTGCTCTATGATCCGATGAAAGGGCAATGGAAAAAGACCATTCACAGTGATGATTTACTAGTTTGAATGCATGTTTCTCATCGAAAATAATGTATCTCTATTGAGAAACATCATAGAAGCTGTTTTTTTTTCAAACGATGCCTCGTTTAATACTGTTACGATGTGAGCGTGGATGTGGGTGAATGGAATATGATACTCATATTTGCACCCACACCCGCACTCCAAACCATATTGCATATTAACTTCTTTACAATACAAAGACTTTCAAAAATAAAATCAATTCTCCTCAAGTACGATTCGTACTAAAGAGCTACTAATTATATTAAACATGATATTACATTTTAAAATTCGTTTACACGAAAATCGTCTGAGTTTCACCTATTCGTGAATGAAATAAAATACGAAGCCAATTATAGAATCAGTAATCATATCCTTTCCTAACTGGCGATAGTCAGATTTTCTTGTACTAATTCAATACAGTTTCTTTTTCTTGGTTGTTGTCTATTATTTTAACGCTGTCGACTTATGTACATAATAGAGAAGGGTGTGGGTGTGGGTGGGTGTGGGGGGTGGGGGTGGGTGCGGGTGTGGGTGTGGGTGTGGGTGGGTGTGGGTTTGGGTGTGGGTTGGTGTGTGGGTGTGGGTGCAGAGGTTAGCATTCGATCTTTAAGATCCACACCCACCCAATTTATTTTTTTTCAGTTAAACAAATATCTGCTCAGTTCATACAATGAAATCATAGTTACAAAATGAAATCAATAAATAAAAGCTATTAGTATAAAGTAATTTATGATTAAAACAAAGTAAGATTATCAAAAAGGAGGGTGTGGGTGTGGGTTGGTGTGCGTGTGGGTGTGGATGTTAGTGTGGATGGATGTGTGTGCGAGTGTAAATGCGGAGTACACTGCAACAATGCTAACACTCGTCCCCACAGCCACACCCACCCACGCCCACACCCAGACCCAGACCGAGACCCAGACCCACACTAACACCCACACCCAGAGGGGGGGGGGTGTTCGATCCGTTGAACTGCTTCACCATTTTCTATAACGTGTTGATCACCGGCAATAGCGGTGGGTGTGGGTGTGGGTGTTTCTATTTCCACCCACACCCACACCCGCCTTTTCATGAAATGCTCCATGATTTGGAAATAATACCTATAGGACAGCAAATGCTCGATATGATGATAGGTTCTTCGCGGATTTTGCATGAAACAAGTGATGGACAGGTCACCTTGAGTGATGTTACAATTTGTTATCTGACTCCATGTCGTTATGAAGGACAATGCCGAGACTTAAATAGTCGGAAAACCCATATTCAATCAGTAAGGTGACTACTTCAGGCCAATTCGTTTGTATTCATCGGCAGCGCCCGATTTCAGTTTCATAGTGTAGGCCAGCTTATTTGCCATTCTATGCTGTTTTTGCTTAGTGGTTGCAATAATGGTCCTTACTAATATCTTTTAATCTATGTCAGCGATAAGAAACAAAGAAAGGAGAACAGACATTCGCCGAGCAAAAAGCAGAGAAGAACGCCAAGTGGCTTTTTTTTATTCGAAGGCAGACGAATGTGCTAAAATCCTTTTGTGCTGATATTGATAATGCCAGGTGGTACTCCTGTGACAAATTACTACAAGATAATTTGTTTGACGTTATAAACCCTTATTAATGACTTCATCATAACACAGATTTCTATCTTTGGATAAGGATCATCATCAAGAAGAACTTTTATTTAGTGTGCATATACTAGGAAAGGTTGTTTCAGACATGTATGATCCTTGAGTACGGTTCTACTTTTAAAAAAATGTTTTCAAGCTCCACATGGTTCTTTGCCTTTGCAACCATATCCAGCTTGTCCATCGCAGGCATAAACAACAAATGTTGATACTGCATATTGCCAATCGTATCCACCACCGTTTGCAGTAATTGCATATGTGCAACAACCGTAATCAACAAACGACATATCAACTTGTTGTGGTTGTTGCCAATTTTTTCGATCAAAAACGATGGTGTTGAATTCAGCACATCGCGTCCCATTGTAATACCAATTTGGTTTAACTTTAAACTCAACTCTAACTTGATCACCAAGTGCATGAACTGGTGGTGTCTGCAATTGTAATTTAAAATGATCTTGACCATCTGGAGTAACCACAAATCCGTGCATGGGCTCTATATTGAAGCCTAAAAAGAGCATCACATGTAAATGCTGATAAATAGCGGAGAACTGTACCTTACCTGTGTTTGCATTGCCACAATAGGAAGGCCATTGATCAGGTAGATCGAATAAATGTTCAGCTTCTGATGGAATACCATGTGTAAATGACAGATATACTGTATTTACGTATCTATGTANTCAATATCCATCGTTGTGATTCTTTTGTTTCTCCAATCATTTCTACTATTCTCATTGTAATGTACCGTTACCGTGACATCGCGATTAGTCTGTTACGAGCTGATAACGAAATCTTTCTTGTTCTTCTATTATGCCACATTTGTTAGATAAATAAAAAAGCTTTTTATAAAACGAAACTTTTGATTCCAATGAGCAGGGCGCAAAGGTCTTGCCCTGCCCTGTGGACATACATCTCTGGGTGGTAGTGCGAAGTAAAGTGCAACATAGGTTGTTATGTCTTTTATTCATAAATGGAAAAGTGTAAAAACAAAAAAGAAAAATTAAATTCGAATTTTTCGTGCAAGTAAATAAGTTTTTTGCATTTTTTGCACAAGATTTTTGTCACCGATTAATTGTGCAAATTTATATAAAGCGTCAGAATTAGCTAATGAACCACGTTTTTGTTTCCAAATATTTAATAATATTTCAATTTTATTTTCACGTTTCAAATGAGAATATTTCTCTCGAAAATCATTCATATCAGTTTTTGATAATTTAAAACGTGTTGATAAATTTTCAATATCATAACTTGTTAAATTTTCAATAAAAATTTGTTGATAAATTTCAAAAAGTTTTTCCTCATATTTATCATTAATTTGAACATAAAGATTTGAAGTTGCTGAAATATATTTATCATTTATAAAATCATTTGGTGGTGCTAAACATAATGGATTTTCATTGATATGAAGTGTTTCAAATTGATAAAGTATCGATGGAAATGATGTAAAATTATTTCCATTTAATATTATTGTTTTAAAATTTTTTAATTGTTTTAAACGATTATTATCTATACTTGTAAGAAGATTATAACTCATATTTAAATACTCAAGTTTAGTTAAATTATAAATCATGTCGGGTATTTCATTAAATATATTATGAGATAAATCAAGTTTTTTAAGATTACATAAATGAATAAAATCAACAGATAATTTATTAATATGAATACCATGTTCTTGACTATAAATAAGTGTTGTAAGTTGTTCAAGATAAACTAATGTATCAGGAAATTTCAAAAATTGATTATTAGATAAATCAATAGTTTGCAGATTTATCATATGAACAATATCTTCAGGAATAGATTCTATTGTATTATCGCTAATATATAATTCCAAAAGAGTTTCAGCTAAAATTATATAAAAGATGAATAATATTCAGAATTGAAAATGATGAAGTTAAGGTTCTATACTCTCCTCATAGAAATATCTCATGGATTTTAGAAAGAAAAAAAAAAAAAAACAAATTAGACACTCCAAACAGTGTCTAGCATCTGTAGAAAAGTTTCGAGCTCTATCAACTGTATTGTGCCTGAGAAAGGCGAAAGAAAACATTTTCCGCTGTTACCACTTCGATATCTCCTATTAGAAAGCATCTGGTGACTTGGTGCCTATGACTATTGTTGCTCTACTCATCGATATCTATCTGCCATGAAGGTATCAGAATATTTTAATGAGTTGTTCTCCAAAAGTGTCAAACAAAAAAGAGCATGGTCAGGTTAGTTCCTCCCATCTTTTACGTCGCGTTTGTGAAAGTTTCATGCTGTTACCGAAAAAATGTTTGCAGAAATTTTTTCAGTTACTTGCTACTAAAAAGACGGCCTGCAGCTGTTCGCCAACGTTCTAGACCTTTCCATTTCTAAAAACTGTCGAGAGTCCTAAGGTCGAGAATAGGAAACTGAGGGTCACATTTTTGTAGACTCGATCGAGTCTACGGTGTTGGTGTGAGATTTTTTCCAGCAATATCTGGCATCTTTTGTGCACATGAGCAAGTGAAGGATCAATATTTCACCTATTTATTGACAATTCTCTAAAACAAGGTCATCGTACAGTTATTTCTTATTCTTCAGTTTTACATCACTCGATATGTAATAAATAAAAAGTTTTTGCAGCTGTAAAAAGAATTTTCAAAAAAAAAAAGACTCCACTGTTCCAAATCGAGTTCAGCAGGGAATAGAGGTTGTTGGTGTTGAATTTACAGTACTTAACTGTCGATCATTCAAAACATTTACTGATATCAGTTTTGAAAATCTTGTACGAAAAAGTTTTAATGTTGGTCGATACCACATTTGAAGCTCCCCGGAGAAGAGTCCCTTCAAGATAATATTCAAGCTCATTGCTACTAATCAAAATGAATAATAATCCATTGATTAAAACAGCTTGTCTTCAAATCTAAGAAAAACTCATATGTTTACTTAACATAAAACTAATCTTTTATGTATCGAGCAATTTCGATCGATGAAAAATTTCTAAATATGAAGAATTTCAAAAAACAATCTTACCTATATATTTTTGCTTATTATTATTATTATTATTATTATTATTATTTGACATTTCATATAACCAAGATGGAAATTTTGTAAATTTATTTGTATTTAAATTTAAAGTTTTTAAACATGTTAATAATTTAAAATCATGATGAAGTTCATATAAATGATTTGAACTTAAATCTAAATATGTTAATGCTTTTAAACAAGTTAATTCATTTAAATTTGTATGTAAATTATTATTTGATAAATTAAGAATATTTATTGTTCGATAAAAAAATTTTTCAAATAAATTTTTTGTTGTTAAATATTGAAATTTAGAATGATTAATTATTAATTTATTTAATGAACGTAATTCTAAAATAATATCAGGAAATTTTTTCAATTGATTAAATGATATATTTAATGATTCTAAATGTAAACATTGTATAAATTCATTTGGTATTTCTTTTATTTGATTATGATCTAAATCTAATTCAATAATATCTTTTAAATAAATACAATCATTTGAATTAAGTTCAATATTATTATATGATAAACGTAAAATTTCTAAATTGGAATTTAAACATTCAGGTATATTATTTAAAGAATTATAACTTAAATCAAGTAAATGTAATGATTTCATATATGATAATAAAGAAAATATATTTGTAAATTGATTATGTTGAATATTTAATTCTTCTAAATAATCAAATTGTTTTATTGATGATGAAAGAAAATTATTTTTAAGATTATTTTTTGATAAATTAAGTTTTTTTAATTTTGAAAATTGATTAAATATTTCAAATGTTATATTATCCATTTCATTTAATTGTATATTTGAAAAAGAAATATCTTCTAGATTAAGACAACTATATAATAACATAGGAAAATTTTTTAATGGATTTGAATTTATTGAAAATGTTTTTAAATTTGAAAAATTTTTTATCATATCAATTGATTCAAATGAATTATTTGATAAATTTAATTGTTCTAATTGAATTAATCGAGTAAATGTTGAAGGTAAACATTTTAAATAATTATGATCAAGTATTAATGTATTTAATTGTTCAAGATAACCAATATTAAATGGTAATTTTGTAAGATAATTATGTGATAAATTCAATGTATGAAGAAAACGAAGATAATGAATATTTTTTGGAAGATATTTTATATGATTAAAAGATAAATTGATATGTTCAAGAAAGGGATGAGCCAATGGACGAGATATCTGTTTAGTTGACAAAGGTGTTGATGGCTAAAGAAAATAAATTTTTTTACTAGTCTATCAATTAGTAGAACACCTTGTATATTTTTGTGAAGTACGATCTAAAGAAGTGTTGAACCATTGGGATCAAAATTTTGAATCCATTCTCCTAGTGTGCATTTTGATAAACATTTGGTTAAATATGAAAATCGAACTTTCTCAAGATTTAAATATAGATAAATATACTTCGAAATATAATCTGTCTAATAGTATATACAACTTTGTTTCAACCTTCAAAGAAATTTTCAAAATTAGCAGACCTAAGAATAAGTCTGAAAACTCATATCTAACAAAATTAAACTGTCCGACAGAAAAATCAAGTACATTTTCTAAATCCTCAAATCAAGCTCTATACAATGGTAAACAAAACTTTTAATTTACATATTTAATTTCTGAGAAAAAGAATAAAAATATTTTTTATATACAGTATCGTTCGAACAGTCAGTCTCGTAAAACAAGCAATCCAACTTTCAAAACTTTTCTAAAGTTTACCAGGATGTTCTTCTATCTACTGTCTCGAATTCCTATTAGTGCAAACATTCTTGCACTGTACAACGGATTTTCATAAAACCTAAATTTTTAAGCTTAGAAATTTTTTTTTTAATTGAGAAAAATAGTACATTCGGAATCAGCGCATTAAACTGCGTCATATCCAATCATATCTGAACAAAGCTATTCTATTCCCAGCAGGAAAATTCGTTATAATCTATGAGTTGCTTGCTTATTGCGTTTCTCAAGGATTAAGATGGTGAGGAATTGTGTCCGAAAATACATAAAATAAAGTGATCTTTCTGTAATTACCAAGAGAAATGATATCGTGTTTTACATTGAATCCATTAGGGATTGAGCTAACAGTTTTTTTTGCTAGAAAATTATATTCTATATTAGTAACAGATGCGACTTCTAATGAGATTTTATTGATTCTAGAAGAACTTGACCTTTTTATGTTCTGCTTGTTAAATACAAACAATTTTAAGAAGATTTCTAACTTATTAAATTATCAAAAAGAAACTTCAACTGAAAAATTGTTGCTTATTTTTAGATGATATAGTCACTAAAAAAACTTTTAAAATATCTTCAAAATAGACAGAATTTCTGAATTGAATTTTTGTGTATCAAATTACTATAAATACGTGGTTTACAAGCGAACTATCCGAAGAGATTCATCACTTTTGAGCTCTTATTTTTGGCATATGGAGAGAAGCTCATAGGCGTTCTGTATACAATTTCGATAATTTTGTCGAATTTTTACCATAGGATGTGCTG